ATTTTCGCGAATTTCTGAAAAATAAAAATTCGCTGGAACCTTGAAATATGATTTTTAGAATTAGGTCACCTAAGGGTATCTTTGGGCAAAATATGAGCGGTTTACCAAATGGGTCGTTGACCGGCGGTTCTCGATCCTAACAGTCAGCCATTCTTAAGTTTCGGATCTCAGCACTGTTAACTGTTTTCTCCTCAAGCATTTACAACGAAATCAAAACGAGCTGTTCACCGCTACGTTTTCTCTGCATATTGAAAACGATTGTTACCCTGCGCAACGAACAGTACCAGCAATTAATGAAAGGTCTCATAAAGATCTCAAGACTTCTCTACAAAGATTTTACTGACATCGACGAACACATAAAAAATATTCCTCTCGTGGACTTTCTTTCTTCCAAAAATTGGCATTATGTCGTGGTCTTGACTTTGCTCTTCCACAGCGAGTATCATCTAAAGATATCCAAGCGGCCTTTGAAAAGGCCTCCTGGAAATTAAAACCGGAATTATGCGAAGACAACGAAGAATTAGCGGCTGCGACATTTCGATCTATTGCTCTAAACTACACTCCAGCACCACCAAGAGCAATGCTAAGAGCAATTGGCTAATTAAAGAAGAGGAACGTCATTATTATCTCACTAAGCTTGATAAAGGATATAGAGTGGTTGTGATGGACAAGTCAGATTGCGTGCGCCTCCTGAAAGAGTCATCCATAAATGACGAAATCAAGTTCAAACCTGTCAGCGCTGAAAAACCTAAAATGAGAGGGAGTCTACCAACGCATTTTCATCCTCTACTTGAGAAAGAGATGGAATTACCCGCCACCGTAAAAAGAATTTTTCCCCAAGATGTTGCTGATTCTGCTGTTTAAAAGCTTCAAGACTCTGTATGGTCTACCGACGACTCACAACAAACAACTGGCGATGCGCCCCGTACTATCCGCAACAGGGACATATAACTACAAGCTGGCAAAGGGTTGAACGAAAAGCTCAAACCTCTATCGGTCAACGAGCACACCGTCAGTGATATTTTTGGCTTCGTGGATGATCTGCAAAACATTCAAGTTGATGACCACAGCATCCTTGTTTCATACGATGTCTCTTCGCTTTTTATTAAGGTACCTGCTGATGAGACAATCGAAGTTCTGGCCGAAAAGCATTTCAGGATGATTGGTTTAACAAAGGACATAGTCTCCACATCACAAAAGCAGATCTAGTAGAGCTGTTGAATATTGCCACGAAGAACCAGTTGTTATAATTTGAGGGAAATCTGTATGAACAAGTAGATGGCGTCGCGATGGGTTCGCCTCTGGGACCCCTAATGGCCAACGCATTCATGTACGGTATCGAAGAACGACTTCAAGACCAAGGGAAAATGCCGGATTTCTACAAACGCTGTGTGGGCGGACCGTTGAGCATAATGCCCAAATTGGAAACAGCTGAAGTATTTCTATCCACACTAAAAGACAGCCATGCTTAAGTTAACTTCATCATGGAAATAGCCCAAAACGGCCAACTTCCTTTCCTGAAGTGAAGTGAAGTGAAAGACTTTATTTAATGAGGGTGACCCGTGACAGTAACTTAAGTTACTGATAAACTTGGGGCCCTCAGCTTAAAATAATTAGAATGCTAAAAATATATTATTTACAATAAAATGCTAAAATACGATATTATTTACAATAAAATACTTAATTAAGTTACTATTAAAAATGATTACAAATAATAAACTGGACTTACAATTTCAAACATACTACGAATAATAAGAGTTAAAAAATTCCATT